TGAGCAAGACCCTGCAGCTATTGAAATCCCTGGCTGAGCTCCCATTTCACCTCACTGCCATGCAGGTTGGTCCCTGCTGTGTTTGTATGCACAAAAACAACTAGGAATTTCCCCTTGCTTTAGTGGGCTGTGTCAAGCCCTCCGATCTGGTTCTCTGAGTGTCTCCCCAGGCTGGAAACATAATTTATCATCTCTATCTCCAGCAAATAGCTGGGACCTGACTCCACCAAGCCCCAGCACCAGTGAACCATAAAGCCCTTGTGCTGTTCGTGAGCAGTGGGAGCAGAGATTCAGGTTCACCTCCTGTGGCAGTGCTTGGTGGGGGGGATGGATAATATTTGGGCTATTTTGGGGCAGCCATCAGCCATGGAGCAGCACAGCAGCTGCCAGATGCTGTGAGGACCCCAGGGCTGCACCAGGCTGCTGCTTGATGGATTTCTTCATGCCCAATTAAGGATCTTCTCTCATCAGGAATGAAACAAAAGAGAGTATTGATGGTACTCAGGCAGGCATGCAGGTGCACGAGGTGCGCCATGAATGTAGTTAACTGCCCTAAATGACAGCAGCAGCTCCCTTTGTTCTTTGCTCCTCTGTCCTGCTGCTCCCTCCAGCAGCGAGGCCAGTCCAAACTGGTGATGCTGGTGGCTCTGGGATGGAGAGCTCCCTCCCACAGGTTAGGCACATTTGTGCCAAAAGACCTCTGAATGGTAACAAGCGACTTAAACTTGTAAAATAGAGGCAAACTTGACTCTCCACCTGGCTAAGCCCAGAGTTTGGGGCTGTTTTCCAGTGTGGCTTTTTGGGGACAGCACTCTACCAGGTGCTTCTGGCCAAACACAGTGTCCTTCCCCTCATCACGCACCTCTGGTGCCCTTTACCTGTAGAACAGCTTGGGGATAAAGGTGGTGTTTTGCCCGCTTCTCACACCACAGCCTGAAGCCCAGCTGTCTGAATCACTTTTCATTTTAACCACGGTTTGCTTGGTCACATCCCAGCCTTCAGATCTGCCACAGCTTTGTGTCTCCAGCCTAACAGCCAGCCCAGCAATCAAACCTCGCTGCACTCTCCCACGCTGCTGAGCACCATGGCAAACATCTCACCCCTGTTCTCCTCTTCCCTGGATTACTCCAGTGATTTTGGGGCCTGGTAAGTGAAGCTCAAGAAGCAATCCTGCCATTACAGACCCATCTGAACAAGGATCTGCTTCAGACAAGGAGTTTTGTTCGGGTCTCACATCCCTGTGTTCATGAGCTGCAGAGGAGGAATGCACTTCTGTTCTTCCTATAAAAGTGTATTTATATATATGTGTGTGTGTGTGTGTATATGCGTGTGTATAAATATATATATATATATATATATATATATATATAAAATAATGTGGCTGTTGCTCTCCTGGGGATGATCTTGCCCATATCTTGCATGGGCACAGAGCACGGCTCCTCTGGTCAAACTGCAGAGTCCACAGGCTGCCAAGATCCTTTATAATTAATACTTACACTGCCTTATTTAAAGCTGATTTGGGTGATTTGAGTTGCAGCAGCTCCTCGGAACTGCGTGGCAGGACTCTGCCTCCCACTCTCCCCAGCCCCTCCCAGGCAGAGGCACCTCTTCCCTCCCAGCCGCTGAATGAGAGGGGTGGAGAAGGGATAGTCACCTTTCCCCAAACACTCTATCAACTTGGGATTGGTGCAGGGTCAGTAACCAACCCCCTGCTTCAGTCACAGCCCAGATAATTAGTGAACAAAGTGCAAATAGTCACTGTGATTCAAATTGCATTTTTAAATTTTTTTTCAAGCTGCCATTGGAGTTTTTTTAGTGCTATGAAACAACTGAATCCTTTTCTTTCTTTTTTTTTTTTTTTTTTTTTTTTTGAGACACTGGTCTTGCAAACCAGAAAGACACAATATTTTGTATCCAAGGTGTAATGAAAATCTTTTGCATTTTTACATTGCATTTTGGATACTGCTTGGGAATAATAACACCAAGCACTTCAGACAGTCTCACTTAAGTTATATAAGTGGCTTCAGTTGATCCCAATACAAATTCATTTTTAATTTTGTGCAGAATAGCCTCAAAAATATTGCACCATCTACAAATCGTGATATAGATTTTGTTTTTTGTCCACCACTCCTTTTAAAAATTTAAACAATCCAATTTCATGCTAGAGAGGCTTGAAACTGTGGAAATTAAAGCTTAAAGCTTTGAGAGATGCACCAGGCACAGCAGGGATGTGTTTTCCTCCAGAGTGCCCCTCAGTGTCAGAAGGTAAAACCAGGCACATAACCATGGTCTCCAATGCAGTGATTTGTCAAACCATACATTTTTCAGCTCTTTTGGTGTCCTGGTTCCTTTCATTTTTAAGTTTCTGACATTTATGAACAGTCTAGTAGCACCTATTTTCATCTCTAAGTGTTACTCTATCACCCTTGGCACCAGGCAGGAGAATTTCA